CGACCGCGAAGGAGATGCGAACCACCGACCTCAACACCGCGAGTCCAGCGTACTTTCACCAAGCCACACGCTCTTTGAGAAACTCGCTCCTTCATTTGGTTCATGAAGCACTCGCGATTTTCAATCGCGACTTTCTTGTAAACGCTTCAATGCTACGCCGTATCTTTAAATGCAATGTTAATTTGTCATGCAAATCTATCGACACAACGCGTTTAGTCGAAATCGATTGCTATTGATCATCTCGTTGGATTCACGCCGAGAGTAAAACGTCAGTCTCGGCCGTGTGTCGGGAAGCACAATCTCGGCAACGTTGCGAATCAGAGCGAGATGGAGAGAACACATTCCCTCTCTCTCTCTCTCTTTCGCTTGGCTCGTCAAAACAAGCCGAGCGGAGGGTGGGACTTCAGACGGATAGACGGGAGCAGTTTCTCTGTGTGTGTGTGCCGACTACATTCTTACATAGAAACGTACGGCAATTGAAAATGTTTAAGCATATACCCTGAGATTCTATCTGTTGCGTATAACACGTGTGTGTGTGTGTGTGTGTGTGTGTGTGTGTGTGTGTGTGTGTGTGTGTGTGTGTGTGTGTGTGTGCGTGTGCGTGTGCGTGTGCGTGTGCGTGTGCGTGTGCGTGTGCGTGTGCGTGTGCGTGTGCGTGTGCGTGTGCGTGTGCGTGTGCGTGTGCGTGTGCGTGTGCGTGTGCGTGTGCGTGTGCGTGTGCGTGTGCGTGTGCGTGTGCGTGTGCGTGTGCGTGTGCGTGTGCGTGTGCGTGTGCGTGTGTGTGTGTGTGTGTGTGTGTGTGTGTGTGTGTGTGTGTGTGTGTGTGTGTGTGTGTGCGTATATGCACACGTACATCACGCACACTTTCAATGCAACACATGCACACAGACACAACTGCGCTAAAAAACGCCTGCCGGAGTATAAATAAATACTAACGTAACGCTGAAATATTTTGGAAAAATAATTTTGGGTACACACAAAATATTATCTTATTATCATATATTTATATATCGATATAAATCATATATAATCTTCATGATATTAATCATATACAATCTCAATTCTTATTTTTTTTGTGCATGTTAACATGTTAATTCATGTTACAAATGCATAACAATGCGCGAGACCGTGCTTGTCAAGTACACTATTATGGTTGTAGCACGGACATAAACCGCCTGAAAGTGGATGTAGCACGGACAGCCACCAGATGCAGGTTTTACCGTCGGGACCTAAAAGTGGATGTAGCATCGTAGTTCCCCTCTCAAAATGGATGGAGATAGCGCCCATTCCCAGTGCGAAAAATCGGTGTCGCCGAAAACACCGTGTTGGCCGCTCTCAGCTTCCTCTCTGGTACCGACTAAATGTATATCGATACATATCGATACATATCGATACATATCGATTTAACATATGACCGATATATATTGGGTCTGGGAAAAAGTTCGTGGCGTTTTTCCCGATAGATGGCGTCAATTGCAAATAACTCAGGAAACAGATCGTAGCGACACCACTAAACGCTCGTTGAAAAGGTGAGCGTTACTTTGAGTGTATAAACATCGAAATTGGTGCAGTGGTTGGAAAGTTGTTTGCATTTGAAAATGGAGAAAAGTAATAAAAAATTGCCCTATATTTTGCAATATTATTACGACAAAGGGAAGAACGCTGCGCAGGCTTGTGAAAAAATTTGTGCTGTGTACGGTGAAGGTACTTTATCAAAATCTGCTGCGCGGAAATGGTTCGCTCGCTTTCGTTCTGGTAATTTTGATGTGAAAGAAGAGTCACGCTCTGGTCATCCAATCACTGAAAAAGCTGATGAAAAGCTGATGAAGATTCTTGAAAAACTCCAGCAAGATAAGCATATTAACAGTGTCGATATTGGTATGGAGCTAGGCATTGATCACAAAACTGTTTTGAACCATTTACACCAAACTGACTACAAAAAAAAGCTCGATGTATGGGTTCCTCATGAGTTGAGCGCAAAAACATGATAGACCGAATTAACATCTGCGATGCGCTGCTGAAACGCAATGAAATCGAGCCATTTCTGAAACGTGTCATAACCGGTGATGAAAAATGGATCACGTACGACAATCGGAAGCGTCAAAGATCGTGGACAAGGGATGGTGAGCCGTCACAAGCGTTCGCGAAGCCAGGATTGACGCCGAAAAAGGTGATGCTGTGTGTGTGGTGGGACTGGAAGAGAATCGTCCACCATGAGCTACTTCCAGTTGGTCAGACGATTGATTCTCAACTCTACTGTGGACAACTAGAAAGATTACGCCAGATAATTGAAAGAAAACGGCCCGAATTGAATAATAGGAAAGGTGTTGTCTTCCATCATGATAACGCCCGACCACACACTTCTTTGATGACCCGTCAAAAATTGCGAGAATTTGGTTGGGAAGTTTTGATGTATCCACCGTATAGTCCAGACATAGCACCCTCTGACTATCACTTGTTCCGATCTCTGCAGAACTCTCTCAATGGAATTAAGCTGGTTTCAAAAGAAGCCTGTGAAAACCATTTGATTTAGTTTTTTAACCAGAAACCACATAAGTTCTTCACCGATGGCATCATGGCTCTACCCGAAAAATAGCGAAACATTGTCAATAATAATGGAGCATGTTTGGTTTAAATAAATTCATTTTCACACTATAAGAAAACCAGTTGAATTTTACTAAAAAACGCCACGAACTTTTTCCCAGACCCAATATATCTTCTTTGCTACTGTCTCTCTATATATATACAAACAAATAAATGCATATATACAAAGAAATATTATTGTATGTATATCAATGTTTGTGTGTGTGTGCTTCATAACTACTAATATCTATTTTATATAATACAAAATATTTACATTGTTTGGTTTTTTGCATATACATGTAGAAGCAGAAAAACTTTTGGGAGTTAATAATTTTTAATATTTTACAGGATCAACGCTACAATGCAAAACAAAAAACATTCGCTTTAACAATGTACAAGACAATGGGGAAGCGTGCTTACTTTTCTTTACGATCAATTTTTAAACAAATACCGAGCATTCAAACTTTACAGTCCGTTTTACACAGAATACTTTTGTTCCCAGGATTGAACCCTTTCATCCTGAGACATTTGAAAAGCATAGCTTTAAACATGTCAATGAAGAAGAAAGTGTGTATCCTTATTTGGGACGAAGTATCAATACAACCCAAATTTACTTATGATATTCGAAAGGATATCATATGTGGATTTGAGGAATGGAAGCAATAACCGAACGCAAAAAATCGCGGATCATGTTTTAGTTTGTATGTTAAGCGGAATTAATTCATCTTGGAAAATACCAATATCTTTTAATTTTTGGAATAAAGTTAAATAAAGTTAAGTAACTAACACCGCGCAATTAATTCGATGCATTAAAGAACATATTCAAAAAATAAAAAAGCAGGCTTCCACATTGTTGCAAGTATATGTGATCAAGGAACAAACGATATCGCATAATAAATGAATTATTGCGGCGTACTAATATAACAAGGCATAAAGAGAATAGAGCACAGAGTAAGTAATTATAAAACATTGTAAAAAGAAAGAATTGCAAATTTCGGTTTTTTATATTTTTTTCTATTTACTTTCTATTTCATAGGGCAAACTTTTGAAGTAGAAGATGCTGAAATAATACCACTATACGACCCATCACACTTCATTAAAGGCATCAGGAATAATTTATTAACGAAAGATATAGCCATCTGTGAAAAATAATATTCTAGAGAAAATTGCAAGCTGGGATATAATTAAATGTGCATGGCTTATGGATAAACATTTAAATATAATTCATCCACATTTGAAACATTTGACACCGGAGCACATAATAAAAGAAAAAATTAAAAAGATGCGAGTGAAACAAGCAGTACAAGTACTAAGTGGGCGTATGGTAAGCGTTATAGAAACATTTGCAAGATCAAAATGTATTTTTTCAATAAAATAAAAAAAATGTGAGTATTTCTTCAATAAAAACAGTAATCTATAGATATTTAATATATTAAATTTAATATTAAATGTTACATGTAATATTAGTATTAAATAATATTTAATATTAAATTTTATTTCAAACATAACATTAAATTTGGTAAATATTTAGAAGTACACAGTCACCTCCGATTTTAATGAGACTAGGCTCATTCGACACGTTTTTGCACGAGAAGCAACTTTTTCCTGTGGCAAAATCGTCGCTCAGTTCCGCGAAGCGAGATATGAAGCGTTAAAGCAGATCATAATTCAGGTTGCTCCTGGTTGCTCAGGTTGCCTGATTCAGGAAAGCTATTATATCGATAAACTTTGGCGACATAAACATGCCTCGTAATTAACATAAACTTCCCGAATAATATGCAAAAAGTTTTAGTCCGTGCTCACTGTTCGTTAAAAAGTTATAAACAAATTAAGTTAGTGGTAAGCACAGATGTCTATACTATACTAGATTGCTAACTTCGATCTTTGACCTATACAAGAGCTGTGTCCCGCCTATTTTCCGGTTCGACCGCCAAAACATGGCGGCGGTGTGTGTTTGTAGTGCGTACGTGAGTATTCGATGCGTGTGTAGTAATGCTGTACTGTAAGTATGTGATACCTGATGTGTCTACACTGATGTGTCGTATCTACTGCTATTTATATTAGTAAAATTGCAAATATATAAACGAGATAATGCCAAGTACATGTTGCATTGTTAATTGCAATAATACGAATAAAAAAGGATATCACTTATTTAAGTAAGTAGAATACATTTATATATAATAAATGTTCGAGGTTTGTAATATGTGAGGGTTATCTTGCAATTAAACATTGTTAATATTATTAATATTATGTTAATATTATTAATATTATTAATATTAGAATGTACTCACTTACAAAAACAACGAAAGATAGAAATCCTGCAAGTAACAGACACAAATTTACAAAATTAATATTATTTAATAACACATAAGTTGCATTTTATTCTTTATATGTATGTAAAAAATATTAATACAAATACTTTGACATATTTTGAACTGTATATATTCAATTTAATTTTAACCTTTACCAAACACTTAGATTAGCAACACCTTATTAATACACACATCTTTAAATGATATTCTTTCTTGTTCGTATTTTTGAAATTTACAATACTTATTCGGCATTATCTCGTTTGTAGATTTGCAGTTTTACTAATATAAATAGTAGTAGACACATCAGGTGTCACATACGCACTACCACGCACTACTACATACGCATCGGGTATTCACATACACACTACAAACACACACCGCCGCCATGTCTTGGCGGTCTTCATGGTCGAACCGGAAAATGGGCGGGACCATGGAGGTAAGAATATCTGGAGGGAGCATAAAGTATTTTTGAGGGCGAGGGGAGTGAAGCCTGAGAGGTGAGAGGAAATATCCGTAGCGGCCATCTTGGTGGTTCAAAAATAACATATATATAAGATACGATATATATCAAATCTATTTTCACGTCATACGGCGTGATTATAACCAAAGAATTTTGAGGTTGTGTGTGTTGCACATATTTTGTAATAAAAGTGCTTGCAATAAAGTTGTTTATATCTGTAATAAAGTGCTTTGCAATAATAAATTCACATAATAATTCACGCAATATGTCTGATTGTTATGCAAAAGACTGCAAGAGCAGAAGACACGTAACACGAAAAAATAAAACACAATTGAGATGGGAATACTCGCATGGCAGACTAATTACATTTCACAGGTATGTTTTAATACTATTGATTATTCAAAGTAAAATTATATTTTATATCATTGTTGACATTTTTTAAAGTAATTTGATAATTACAGAATTCCAAAGAAACCACAAGTACGTAAAAAGTGGCTTGATAGAATGGACTTAAATGACAGTAATGTTCCAGAAAATGCATTTATTTGCTCATTACATTTTGAAGAAAGTGATATGGACAAAACATCACTTAATTGTATTAGAATTAGATCTGGTGCTGTCCCATTTGTATGTATAGACATAGAATTATCAGTTTCAAGTATTTTATATTTTGTAAGACAATATGTATTAACAAAATATGTATTACAGAATAATATGAATATGAAAAATGACGAGTCTCCTGTGAAACGAAAAAAAATATTGGACGAACATAATTATAATTTAATGAAAGAGCAACAGAATCTTGATCCTGTAAAAATACAAAAAATACATCACAATGCAGAAAAAAGTATGTTAAAACATAATTATCTTATTATAAAACATATATTATTTAGTGATCATCTTATTGTAACTGTTTAGTGATGTGGAGTTATGAATAATCTTATTAATAATTTCTTATAAAATATAATGATTCTTTTAATGACAATTATATAGATTATATAGATGATCCTGAAACATGCAGAATCAAAGAAGCAGAAAATCTTGATTCCATGGAAATATGTGACAACATTGAACAAGGTATATTTATCAATTGCAATAGATAAAACAAATCATTTTGTAGAAACACTGTTAAGTGATAGCGGACTATTACAAAAATTTTATATTAATAATAAATTGGCCAGTGATTTTTAATAGTTTTGTTACTAGTTACTATAGATTGAATAAGAGAATAAAAATTTAGCATTTCTACTCAAGATATGTAGTTACTTTTTTTTCCTAATAAAAGAATAATGTTTATGAAATTTTTTTCGTTTAATTATATTTTTTCATCAACGTTGTATTTGATACAGTTTCCCAGACGAGTACTTCACCACGTACCACGTACAGTACCACGTACTTCAAGAATTAAAAATCAAGGAATAATTGTTTCGCCATATCTATCAGAAAACACGCCACGGAAACAATCGTTGAGAACTGCGTTGATGTATACGAGAAAAGAATTTCAGAAAAAAATTAAAATGTTACAACAAAAGCAACGACGAACCATTAAGTGTGTTGCAAAATTGAAAGATGTATTGACATGTTTGAAAAAAAAAAATCTTCTTAATGCAGAACAGCTGGATGTCTTAAAAGATTTAGGTAATTTCAACAAACAATTATTAAAACGTCAAGTTAATAAGATTAATAAAACTCCAACGCCTAAAAAGTATAGGCCAGAATTAAGATCGTTTGCTTTAACGTTGCACTTTTATTCGCCACGAGCGTATACATTTATTCGAAAAAAATTTGATACTTGTTTACCCCATCCAAAAACAATAAGTAAATGGTACAAGTCGGTTCACGGTGAACCTGGTTTTAACGAGGAAGCATTGAAGTCCATTAAAAAACGTGCTAATTTAGTAAATTATCCTCTTTTTGGCGCTCTTATATTCGATGAAATGGCTGTAAGACAACATGTAGAATATGATGGTGAGAAATATTGTGGATATATAGACTTGGGGCCTAATATTGATTGTGAATACGGTATAATAGCAAAAGAAGCACTAGTGTTTTTTGTAAATTGTATTAATGGATCCTGGAAAATTCCCATTGGATATTTCTTTATTTCTGGTCTGAATGCAGAGCAAAAGTTCAATATGGTTCGTCAGGCATTAATACTATTGCATGAGCATGAAATAAATATAATATCTGTAACTTTTGACGGGGCTCCAGCTAATTTAACCATGTGCACACTTTTAGGATGTAATTTTAACTTTACATCTTTTCAGACTTATTTCTCTCATCCGTTAACGGACAGAAAAGTTACTGTATTTCTCGACCCATGCCATTGTGTGAAACTATTACGTAATTGTATTGGAGAACATAAATCAATAATTGATGACAATGGTGATATGATCCAATGGGAACATTTTACGAAGCTTAATGACATTCAAGTTAAGGAAAGTCTACACTTGGGTAATAAATTAAGAACGCGTCATATACAATACCATAAATAAAAAATGAAAGTAAAACTCGCAGTGCAAATCTTCAGTAATTCTGTAGCTGATGCAGTGCAAATCTTCAATAATTCTGTAGAAATTTGTAAAAATGATTTACGATATACAGATTTTGCAAATTCGGCCCCAACGATAAGATTCATACGAATAATAAATGATCTTTTTGATATCTTAAATTCGAGGAACATGAAACAGATAGGGTTCAAACAACCGTTAAATAAAAACAATAGTTCTATAATTTTGGAAAAATTAAAAGAAGGCTATAATTTCCTATCACAATTACGAAAGACAGATGGTCAATTGTTGATTTATTCTAAAAATAAATGTGCATTCCTCGGTTTTATGATATGTATCAAAAGTATAACAATACTTTATAAAGATTTAGTTGTTAGTCAAGACGTATTAAAATATATATCAGGTTACAAATTTAACCAAGATCACGTTGAATTGTTATTCAGCTCTATACGAGCTCATGGAGGTTCTAACAATAACCCGACGGCTCGGCAATTTAAAGCCGCTTATAAAAAAATTCTTGTCCATACAGAGATCACAGAGACAGCAACTGGTAATTGCATCCCGCTAGAAATAATTTCAATACTACATGTTTCTGCGAATTCTGCAACTATAATAAATCAGTCAACTCCGAAATCTCGAGTAATAGATGATAGCAATCATGAAGATAGGAACGAAAATTTACCTCTTTTGCTTGATACAATAACGCTTTCAGAATTTACAACGAGAGTTATAGCTTATATTGCAGGTTTTGTTGTAAGACATTTAGAAAAAATTCTACATTGTGAAACTTGTATCGAAGCTCTTACTGGCAACGAAACACATATCGAATGTTCTTTAATTAATATTAAAAATCGTGGGGGCTTAAGATTGCCTTCACACGATGTAATTGTAATTTGTACTAAAGCTGAAATTGCAATTCGTTTAGCTTTGCGTGAAAGTGGCGATAAATGTTTATCAAAAAAATTTACAGAAATTTATCTCTTGAATCAAGTTTTGCAACGTCTCATTGAAAATAGAAATATTTTCTCAAATATAGAAGAACATTCTCGTGATCAAACAATTTTAGAAAATCATGTGTTTCATCTTATGAGAGCAATCGCCTCTAAATATATTAAAATAAGATTACATTTTATAGGGCGTAATATACTTCGTGATAACATAAGTATAAGGCAAGCATTTAACAAAATAGTTTTGTTTAAGGGACAATAATTCTAGTAAACAATAACTAACAGTAACATTACACTCATGTTCTAATTTCTAATTATACAATATCATAATGTGCATCCTACGTAACAGTTCTTGAGTAGAAATCTTGAGTAGAAAATTATAACATTGTATTGTGTTATTGGTAGTTTTTGCGTTTACATTTATATTTCTTTTATGTTAATAAAAAGTAAGACATGCGTTATAGTCTATAACTATAACTATATTATAAAATTATAATTTACTTTTATAATTATATTATATTTATAATGCAATTTTTATTTTGTCATACGTTTTGTATATTTCATAATAAACCATACGTAAATTGATTATATTTTTGTTCTCTGAAATTACTTTTTCTCACAATGCATCAAATTCAATTTATTATTTTTATTCATGTGGAAGTTGTATTTCCAAGACGTTACAATAGATATTCCATGTAATCACCGTCACTGCTGTCGCCATCTTGGTAGTTCATATACGTTACAATAGACTTACACTCCCCTTTCCCCTTAGGCTTCATGATCGGAGAAATATGCTCCCTCCAGATATTCCTACCTCCATGGGCGGGACACAGCTCTTTTGAGAAGTTAGCAATCTAGTATAGTATAGACATCTGTGGTGGTAAGAGTTTGCACCGAGCATACACACACACACACACACCGAAGGGGGCGTGCGGGGGGCTTTCGGCCCCCCACCCGCACCTCCCCTCGAGGGTTAACGAATGAAACTCACTTCATATGGAAAGTCACATGTGAGTTTGCGACTTATTGCGACTTTCCACATGAAGCGAATTTCACCCGTTGACCCTTGAGGGGGGGGCGAGTGGGGGGGCCGAAGGCCTCCCCGCACGCCCTCTTCGGTATGTGTGTGTGTGTGTACACATGCTCGGTGCAAACTCTTATCACTAACTTCATTTGTTAATAACTTTTTAACGAACAGTGAGCACGGACTAAAACTTTTTGCATATTACTCGGGAAGTTTATGTTAGTTACGAGGCATGTTTATGCTGTGTTAAGAAATTGCTCTTATTGGCGGGAATAATGCACGAATACACGCACTTCTCTAGGCGACGAATATATTACTGAGCAACGATATCACAAATCGGTTTAGATACACGGTCTGTCCCAGATACGATGAGACTGGTTCCATCAAAGTTTTTAGTGCAGCGATATCTATGAATGAATAATGGTAGATGAATGTTCTACCCTTCATCTACTTAACCTCAAAATTTGAGCGAATTCGGTTGATATTTCACTGTGGTTTGACATTTTATGTAAAGTCACTTTGTGTACGTCGGTCGAAAAACCAACTTTTAAATTGGGTAAATGTGGTGCAGAAATGTACGAAACGCTAAAAAATGTGTACGGGGATGAATGCATGTCCCGTGCACAGGTTTTCCGTTGGTTTGGTCGATTCCGTGACGGTCGTGAGGACTTTGCAGACGATGACCGAGCACCGCCGCCAAAAACTACTCGCAATGAAGAAAACATCGAGAAAGTCAAAGAAATTCTTCGAAGCGACCGTTGTGTGTCTGCCCAGATGTTATCTGGGAGTTCTACAACGATTGTGGGCCAGAATTCGACGAGTTCGACCGGAATATCGAGAGCCAGGCAGTTGGTTTTTGTTGCACGATAATGCATCATCGCACAAAGCCATCATGGTACGTGAATTCTTGACCAAAAAAGGCATCATTGTTATCGATCATCCACCGTATTCACCTGATTTGGCTCCGTGCGACTTCTGGCTATTTCCCAAACTGAAATTGGCGGTGAAAGGAAATTGTTTCGATACCATCCCGGTCATCCAAAAGACTTCGACCGCCATACTAAAGGCCATTCCAGCCGATGAGTATAAAAAATGTTTCGAAAAATTTGTTGAACGTTTCCAGCGCTGTATTGACTCAGAAGGAGACTATTTTGAATAAACAAGAATAAAAAATAAAAATAATAAACGCTTTGTATTTTTTTTAGACCAGTCTCATTGGATCTGGGACAGACTATGTATGTCAACATCAAGGTCGCGGAACACTCGGAATTAGTTACGAGGCATGTTTATGTCGCCAAAGTTTATCGATATAACAGTTTTCCTAACCTGAATTATGATCTGCTTTAACGCTTCATATCTCGCTTCACGGAACTGAGCGACGATTTTGCCACAGGAAAAAGTTGTTTCTCGTGCAAAAACGCGTCGAATGAGCCTAGTCTCACTAAAATCGGAGCTGACTGTGTACTTCTAAATATTTACCTTAAATTTAATATAAACATAATAAAATTGTATGTTACAGTAATTATATCAATAGATAATAAAAATGTGAGCATCGACGAAGAAGAAGGGGACTTGCAACGATGGAAGTTGTGAATTTCTTGAATCAATTATTTGATTCAGTGAATGGAGACAATAAACACAACGATAATGAACTACGATATCCAGTGACAGAAAATAGTAAATACCATGCGTTTTGGGTGAGTGCGAAAAATATATTAAATAATATGTCATATGTCGATAAAGTGTCGCGCAGCGTATTAAAATCAGTGCCATCGTTAAGAAACTGATTATTCACAGTAGACGGTTTTCAGAAACTATGGAAAGTGCTTTATGATAAATTTGAATTTCATTCATTAAATACGCATAATTGGAATCAAGATCCGTTAGAAAACTTTTTTGGTCAAATATGAAGTCACGCGATACGTAATGTTAATCCGACACCTAAATAATTCGAGGAATCTTTTTTAACTTTGCTTATAAATAATATGAAGTCTGTTTCAATTAGACACGGTAATTGTGAGATATCCGAAGATAATTGTTCAATGTTGTTCTCTTTAGACAAATATTTAGAAAATATATTGTATAAATAGCAAACGAATCCATTTATAATGATGAAGTTCCGGAATTACTGTCAGAAAATAATGTTTCGAATGATATATTTAACGTAGTATCTTTAGATAATCGGAAACATAATTAAATATATTTTGAAAGAAGTTAATTTTTGTACAGAATGTGAAAATAGTCTACTGAGTAGTGAATTTTCAGTTTGCATTAGACAAATACAGGCGTCATTAATAAATTGTTAAAAACTAGAGTACATAAAAATACATTTTAAAAGTATTACAATTAAATTACAATTAAAATATATTTTAAAAGTGTTACAATTTTTAGAAAATCATAATATTAATATGAGTTGGCATGAGTGTGTAGAACATAAAAATATATGTAAAATTATAGTACGTGTGTTAACTATGCAAATTATTATATTGTGGTGTGAGAAAAAAAATTCTGCGATAAAAAATTCTGATGTAAATATTGAAATACTGCAGCGTAATGTGATCGCGAGTGTTAATAAAATTAAACAAATGCGTACAAATTTTATAATAGAGCGAAGAAAAAGAAATATTATTTTAAAAAATTATAAAGATTATATTCACAAAAAACGGCGTGTGCAATAATTTCTTATATTATTTGTTTAATTATTTAGGTTATATTTATTAATTATATTTAAGTTTTACTTATTATATATAATATATTTATTGTATGTATTTTTTATATTTATTTATTTCTAATATGTTGTATACAATTTGTAATTCTATTTTTATTGTATTTCATTTTTGTAATGGTATGTTGAGTGACAATTGTATGATAAAATTATATATATTTGTATGACTGTGAATATGAGTAGCTTATTAATAGAGATAGGTAGGTCCTTCTACTCCGATCAATTATCTACCTGAAGAAATCATGTTTTCCTATAAAAAGGCATGCCTTCAGACAGTGGTGGTTAGTGGGTGGAGATAAGATCGGAGGAAAGATGCGAAATTCTAGCGAAAGCAGAATTTCGCATCTGAGAAGAAGTGTAGTGGTATAAAGGGAATGCTTCTATGATAACTTCTGTAAACAGTTTGTTATGTATGTTATTATTTAGTTATGTATTATTATTATTATTAGTTATGTATGTTATTATTTTATATTGTTATATTAATTTGTAAAATGTATATGAATGATTGAGTGCTTGAATGCTTTTATGATGCGGTTGTGCACAAATTATGTGCTTTACATCACATTTTTTAACCACACCGGATATTTTACATGTTTATATCCGACAGTCCGTAGTCTGTTTAAAGTGGCACGGGAAAATGTTAGGTAAAGCATTTTTATATGTGAATTACATTATATTGGGTGTACAAATTAGTTCGGTCCGTTTTCAAAAGATGGCTCCGGCTGTTATGAATGGTTCATAGTGACTGCCGATTTTGGCGGTTTCAGAGAGGTT